GGGAGGGGAAGAGAAGGGGGCGAGGGGGAGGGCGGGGAGAGGGAGGGCGCGGCGGGGGCGGGAACCCGGGGCCCTTCATCCCGCGGGCAGACTCCGGGTAGCTCTCTCCAGATCCCAGGAAACTGGTCAGCCTGTGGGGCCGTCGCGGGCTGCCTGGGGCGGGGGGCAGGACGACCGGGGGCGGGGGCACCACCGCCCTGGGCCAGGGTGTGCCTCCGCCCCGCAGGACTTGTGAACTGTGTGCTTCCCATGTGGCTAAGAGAAAAAGGAAATTCTTATTTTTTTCGGGCACGAGACTTCGGTGAGTCTTTGATCAGAATTCAGTTCCCTGGAAAGTAGCACCCGGACCCGTAGTTAAATCAGCAGCAGCAGCCGCAGAGGGATTCGCTCACCCGAGGTGTCTTCGCTCACTTGGAATGTGTGGCCTCGGCCGGGGCTGGGTTGGGAGGACAGAGTTGGAGACTGCTGCGCTCCGCCACCCTTTTCGTTCCCCGCCGGCCCGGCCGTTCCCTTCTCCTAGCCCCGGGCTTCGCAACCTCCTCACCACGCTGCACCCCATTGCCTTAATACACGGGATCCACGACTCTCGCGATTCTTCTGTTTTTTGCCTCTGCCACCTCTGCGCTGAACTCGACACTTCAGCTCGGGTGGTGACACTGTGATTATTGTCACCGCGGCAGGGATGGGCGGTGTCACCGCAGCCCTTCATCCCCGCCAGCTTTCCGTGGTGTGAGTGCCCACTTGGGCGGGAGAGCGCGGGCTCAGCCAGTGCGCCAGCTCTGTGTGAGCGCCTAGTAGGGCCACCTCCCTGTCCCCGACACGGGGGCACTCAAGAAAATGTTGGTGAATGGCCCACAGCGCCAGCTTTCCAGGAATAACACTGGAAAGCGTTCCGCAGAAAACACGTGCTTCCGGTTCCCTGGGGAGCTTCTGGGTTTTTGTTGCTAAAAGTTGTGGTTACACGCTATGGGCTGTTTAAGGGACTGTTTTTCAAGAGTTGATGTTATTCCTTCAGGAAATAATGCAGTCTGAAGCAGCAGTTCACATGGTGTGTATGTGTGTGGTGTAAGTGTATACCCCAAATATATTCAGATTAAAAACTTTGAAAATTAACTTTTTAAAGACATCAGCAAATTGCAGATTTCTGCTTCTGGGGACCATTCCAATTAAAAGATGGCCGCTTTAAGCCATCCTAAGCGAATATTATAAAGAAGTGGCTGCACAGACCTACTTTTGGAATGATTCATTTCTGCCTTGCAATTATAATTGCTTCCATTTGTGATATTAACTTTAGGTAAAAGATTTGGGGCTGATTCAGCTATCTTACCCATCTCATTTAGGAAAGACAATTTAGCTTAATATTTGAAACCTACAGTGGCATGAAACAGAGCATATTCTCTCCACTTTATTGCATATAATGTTTTTTTCCATTACGGCTTTTCTTTTTTTAAAGATATCTTAACCCCATCTCCCACAAAACCAGTTACTAGATAAGCTCCTCCAGAAAACTGGGAAAAAATAAGAGTACTATGTTTAGCAAGGTTAAATTGAACAAGAATGTAGATCAGAACATCAAATAGCTATGGACCTATTGGTATCAAGGTACCAAGGTACTCTAGCTCATTATCTTTGGAGCTACTCAATAAATATGAATGGCATTAACTGAGTGCTTTAGTTCCTTCATTCAACAAACATATAGAGCGACTATTTTGTGCTAGGTAGTCTGTTAGCCAGAGAGGACAGAAAGGACTCAAAGACTCACCTTAGTTCTTAGGGATTCACAGGTGGGAGTGAGGGAACACAATGAAGCTAATGCCAATGCAACAGTGGGGTCTTGTGGCAGGAAACAGGGCATTTGCCCAGGAGGGCAAGTTAATCAGCTTGAGAGGGATGGCCGAGAAAGCTTCCTGGAGAAGGAAATATGGTCTTTTTGAAATTTTTATTTACTTTGTTATTTTTTATTGTAAAAGTAACACATGATCATTGTAGTATATTAAAGGAAAATAACTTTTATATGTAAGTGAATAAGCTATCTTCAGTGTTCACCATCCCCCACCCCACCACACAGAGCTTGCTGTTTGGTGTAGAGCCTTTCGGTCTTTTTCATATATGTATTTATACACACATCCCCCTTTTTAAAACATAAAATTAGGATATCATACACATTTGTCTATAATGTACTACTTTAAAAAGCATATTGTGATAATCAGCCTTCAAGATAGTCCCCAGCAATCTGGTTCCTGGAACAAAGTGAGTACGCAGGCTTGTGGGAAACCCAGGTGGGGAAGGCAGGAGGTACAGATATGGGAGTATTCAGTATATACATAAAAGTGAAAAACTGGACTAGCACATCCAAGGAGAGGCCTATTAAGTTCAAAATTAACGAGAGTTCACTTTTGGAAGAGGCAAATTATTGCTAAGATACACAGTTAAGAAGTGCCAGCCAAAGGCAGAAGGGACAGCTGGCTCTCAGCCTGGATCTCCCTGAGCATAATGGATCTTGGTAGGGGTAACCCCAGACTCAAGTTAGCTTCTTAACTCTTTAGACTTGGAAACTCAATTTTGTCAGTTCTCTCAGGAATGATCAGGATCTAGTAACCAGAGATCCACATCTTGACTATTTCTTAGCAGGCCAATTTCTGTTATTCCTAAGAGGCTATGTGGCAGGACCATGGGTTTGGATTCAATTATTCCAGACTTCAAATTCCAGTTTCATTATTTTCTGGCTATCATAACTACTGAGAACTTTGGCTTCTTTGTCTGGAAAACAGGGGGGGCCACCTTGCAGAGATGTTATAAAGATTAAAAGGTATAATATATAAAAAGCATCTCACATAGTGCCCCCATTCCAGATCAGTGATAGTGAGTTCCCTCTTCCTACTCTTGGAGTCTTGCTCTGTCACCTGAGTGCCATGACTTTGGCCTAAGCTCACTGCAACCTCAAACTCCTGGGCTCAAGCAATTCTCCTGTCTCAGCCTCCCAAGTAGCTGGGATTACAGGTGCATACCACCACACCTGGCTGATTTTTGTATTTTTAGTAGGGATGGGTCTCACTCTTACACTGGCTGGTCTCAAACTTCTGAGCTCAAGGGATCCTCCTTCCTTGGCCTTCCAGAGTGCTACGGTTACAACAGTGAGCCACCATGCCCAGCCTCTTTCATCTAACTCTTTAGTGCTGTTCAGTCACTGCAGGTACAGGAGCCTGGGGAGGCAGGCTGGACGAAATCAAAGAGAAAGCTTGGTAGCCAGGAGACAAATACTGATTTCCTAATCTAGAAGGAATGACTGGTTGTCCTCCAAAGTCCAGAAGCTGCTTAGCTTGTGAGATACCACGAATTAAAAAATCTTGCACATTCTCTTTTAGGAGAGCTCTGCTCATTAGTTTTCCAATTGTAGCTCCAAGGACAGATTATTCTGTTAATAAAATCTCCTTCATTCTAAAGGGAACAATAATTTCATTGTAAGAATGATCTGGTTTGGGTATTTCTAAAGGTCTATCATAACTTCTGCTGACAGAGAGAACACCTACTGTGGACCTGCTTTTATTGAACTGCACCTTGGTGTGATGTATTGGATCATATGGAAAACAGTAACGAGAAAAAGTTCTATGAAACTAATCATTGTGACAGTTCAAAAGATGTAGCTGAATACCTTGTTCATTACAATACACTTATGTTGAGCAGTGTCCTCTTGAAAACAATATTGCTGATCTAAGAACCAAAAAGAGTTGTACTTTCCCTGAGAGTCATTCATTTAACAAGTATCTATTGAGCACCTTCTGTGTGCCAGGTATGGTGCTAGGGCCAAGCCTGGCACTAGAAGAGAGTCTATGCCCTCCAGATCATACGCACTCAGTTGTGTAACTCACCAGATTTCCCATTTAGGAGGCTAGAAACCTTAGTAGCAAATCTTCAACCCACTTTGTAGCAACTTTATAGGACTGAGGTATGTGCTTTCCAGCCCCACTCCTGGCTCCACTTTATGTCTTTTGTTCTACCTTTTAATTTATGCTGTTTTATATGTTAAGCTATCTTAAATTTTTCTGGACCAAGTAACAAAGACATATATAAGGAAGACAATACACCTATATTTTAGTTTATTTTTACTGTGATTATTACAAATATATTTCATTCTTTAAATATTCTCAAACACTTAAGAATTTATCATTTTTGCCATTTATAACATGTTTTAATGTTATATAAAATATAAATTTTATGCAAAGTAGTTTATTAATTTTTCTTTTTTAACCTAATTTTTTTTGTGACAGGGTCTCCCTCTATTGCACAAGCTGGAGTGCAGTGGTGCCATCATAGCTCACTACAGCCCTGAACTCCAAGGCTCAAGCAATCATTCTGCCTCAGCCTCCCAAGTACCTAGGACTACAGATGGGAACCACTACACCTGGCTAATTTTTCTATTTTTTGTAGAAAGGGGATCTGACTGTGGTGCTCAGGCTGCTCTCAACTGATCCTCCTGCCACATGAACTACCACACTCAGTGAACCTATTTTTTTTTTTTTTTTTTTTTTCAGTTCATCAGCACCTAGAGATTTTTCAAGGAGACTTAGGGAGGTAGCTAAGAGAGTTTATAGCATTATTAAGGCTAGTTTCAAGGGTAAGAGCTAGAAGCTGTAGTAGGACCTAAGACTTTTTGCTTAAAAAAAGAAGTTTTAAAATTTTTTGATAGTAGAGATGTAGGAAGAGAGAATATAGAGTCATGGGTACAATATCTAAGATTTGAATAAATGTAACAAAAGTGAGCTCTTAACTTATAGCATTCCATGTTCTTAAAGCATGGCACCAGTTATTGAAAGAATCCCATTCAGTCTATGTGTCAAGCACATGATAGATGCTCACTAATAACCACTAAATAAATGAATAAATTAAATCTACATTGAAGATATATCTGATACCTGTTACTGAACCATAGATATATTGACATTATATATAGTATTTATATATATAATGTTGTAGAAAAAGCAGTCTTGTTGGGAATGTCATAAATGATAAATGGTCAAGAGATGGAGTTTATTTTGATCTTTATCAACAGCAGTGTTATATTTTACATCAAAATGAAATAAATTAAAAATGAAATATATCACTATCAATATAATCTACAGATTTCTCATATTTTAATATATTTTACAATAGATACTACATTTTAATAGATATTATGAGATATACCATAACATTAATTATTCCTTAGGATTTTAAGAAATATGGCTTATGTACCAGGCTTAAAGAGTGAGCCAAAGTCTTTATCAGCTGCCTCAAAACTGATTCTTGGGTAAATTTCAAAAATTTGAAATCTGAATAGGATATAAATGTCTAATGTTTATGTTTTCAACAGTTTATTTATTTGCTGTTATGTAATTCTTTAGCCAACATCCTCTGTTTCTGATGAGAACGGTGTATTTCATGCAGGAACAGTAAGACAAGCAGGATCATATATCTTTATCGTTTCATCCCAAGAACAGTCAGCCACCTATAAAACAAAAATGAAGAAGAAACATATTTAGATGAACAAAAATTCAAAATTGGCAGTAAAATCCTAATCATATAGAGTACAGTTGGTCATTCACTAGTAAACATATTTTTAAATAGGAAAAACACAGGGATAAAGTTTTGATAAAGAGTCTATTTTCTCTTTTTAAGATATACTTCAGGTATCGTTTCCAATTGATTGAGGATGCCTACAAGGTGATTTTCCACAATAAAAAGAAGAAAAGGAAAAATGTAGGCAATAATATGAAGGATGAAGTAGCAAGAGAGATATTTTGACTAAAGGTATTTGTACTCTATTTCCCAAACTTTCATGGTTACAAAGGATGAAATTTATACAAGGGAACCCCCAGTTTTGATTAATTTCTTGGCTGTCAATAACTGTGCAAGTAAATGTTGTCCTCTGGCCATGCAACTGATGACTACCCCTCAACAGATGATTCCAAACCTTACATTTTTTTGTTCTGTGGATAGTGACCAATTTTGCACCTATTAGTAAATTCATTTCAACATGCAGTGATTGCCTGCATGTGTGTGTTCTTTGGTTCCTTTGAACTAGCTGTAAAATCTTATATGAGTTATATAAATGAGTTAAATAAAATCTTCAATACATGTTCATATGATGTGAGACTAATGATTACTATTTTGAAAATTATCCTTTAACATGGCCACACACAGGATATGAGTTTAGTGCCCTCAATGGGGTAAACATTATTTCTATGAAACATAACCCTTGCTTTCTTACAGAACACATACAGTGAGTAATGGAAAAACTATTTCATTAAAAGAACAAACATTACGAAATGGTGAAAAGGAGGTAGATAATTATACTAAAAAAAGAGGCTGAAGGTCAAAGTGGGAGGATGACTTGAGCCCAGGAATTCAATACCTGCCTGAGCAACATAGTGAGACCCCATCTCTACAAAAAATAAAAAATTAGCCAGGTGTGGTAGCACACGCCTGTAGTCCCAGCTACTTTGGAGGCTGATGAGAAAGGATCGCTTGAATCCAGGAGTCTGAGGTTGCAGGTAAGCTCTGGTGATGCCACTGCACCCTAGCCCAGGAAACAGAGACTTCATCTCAAACAAACAAACAAAAAAGGCTGATAATATTTGCTAAAATTGGGCATGAAATTAAAGGCAAACAATATGATACACAGATATCATGATCAATTTACCAGTTCATCAGGGGATGTAAAAGTTCACTACAAGAGAAATATACAATATGCCTCCATTACAAAAAGCATTCAATGCCAAAAGAATAGTTTTACAGAAGATACAATGTCTTTCTTCATATGGCTATTAAAAAAAAAAAAATCTCAACCCTCCAATAGGCCAAAAGCGCGCTATTAACTGCAATTTCCTGGAGGCACTTCTAGAAGGCAGTGGTTCTCAAGCTTTAGTGTGCATTAGAATCACCTGGATGGTCCCCAGCCTCATAGCCTTAATTTTCAAACTGTGGTCCTAGGATCAGCATCATTGGTATCACTTAAGGATGATACACAGCCTGGGGTCTTTAAACCAAGGTCTACAGATGGGTTTCAGGAAGTCCATAAATGCAACATTGTGTGTGTGTGTGTGTGTGTGTGTGTGTGTGTGTATTGAGTGGGAAGAGGAGAGAGAATCCATAATTTTTGTCAGATTCTCAACTCCTGACCCCCAAAACACTAATCCAGAGCATTCTCTAGTTGTGCATTATAATTACCTAGGGAACTTTCTAATGTGCAGCTAGAATAGAGAACGTTCGGAGCATAATGCATATCAATTTTCTTAACTGGGTTTTTGTCATGTGAACTAAGATGGAGTTCTTTGGGATTACTTTATGAGCAGAAATGTTTTGTTGTTGACTAAAAACAATTCAAAATTGGGCAGGGTTAAAATACTCTTCTTAAAGAAGAATTCTCTTTCCTGAGGAGAAAGAAGAGATTAACATGCCACTAATATAATGGAAAACACCTTGTTGCCACATTTTCACATTCTTATTTCAAATCTAAGTTTCAAATCTAGTAGGTTAATATGTGGCAGGAAGAGAGAGAACTGGGAGGATGACTAAGAAAGAGGAAACATGACCAACTATCTTTAAACAAAAACCTGAGTCTTCCCTGAAGTGTTCCTAAACCAAAGTGTATGTAGCTTCCTGGTCCTATTCTACATAAGTCAGTATCCAGAATTTCTATTTATAAAGATATAGGAAAATTTTATTAATCATTTAAGCTATGGCTAATAATATTTTTATTTATTTGAGATTTGCACCCTGTTGAGTTCTAAATGGGCTCAGGTAGTTTACAGATTAATCCATAGGTCCAAATAAAGATTTTCAAAAACCCCAAAAAACAGAATCTGTTCTAAAGGGAACAAATGGAGCAAAAGCTTTCAGGCATCAGAGCTGAGCACACCACAATACTGGCACAATAACTTAGGTTCTGTGCTTTATGACAGCTAAAGAGAAAACGAAAGCATGCTGGGTTATATAGTTTCTGTTTTCTAACAAAATTCACATATGAATGTAAACTAAACCTTAACAGATTTTTTTTATAGTCGGAGACTATATCTCGATCAAATCTGTAAATCTGTATTTCTTGAATTTGTATACAGTAAATCTTTGATAGATATTTGCTGAATAAATGAATCCCTGCATGAGCTGTGGTTTTCTGCAAGATTTTGCTGAGTAGAGAGAGGCTCACATGATCAAGAGCACCTAATCAGGCATGAGGTCAGAGACTTGGGTAAAAGCAACAAGTTTTATGGGATTTGGGGGATATATTGAATATCTGATTATCATGAATATTATTTAGAGAAGATTCACAAGGAGCTTTCCTTTATGTCTTAAGAACTGTTAGCCAAATATTCCTCAGTATTACAAAGCTAATGATAATTCATATATATGTATATTCATCCATTGATTCAACCAAGATTTAATAAGAACCTCCTCTGTGTCAAAAGTATGCAGGCTATGACAATAAACACAATAGTCCTGGTCTCTGTCCCCACAGACCTTGAGTCCAGTGGAAAGAGGGACATAAAGAGACATCCATAATGCAGAGTAATACAAACAATGATGGAGGAATCAGGCATCCCGGAAAAGCAGGCGAGGGGCCACTATAACCAAATTTGAGGAAAGTGGATGCTTTCTGGAAGAAGTATTATCTCAGATGAGGATTAAACCAGGAGTCTGCCAGAGAACATTTGTTGTTGTTTGTAGGGCAGGGGCATGATGGAGAACAGAAAAATGCTCTAGGCAGTGGGATACATAAGAATAAATGAAGAACTAAAAGTTCTAGTTTTAAGGCAACTAAATTGTATTACAAACTCCTCTAATGAAACTCTTAATCTTTTGAGAGGAGGCTTTTTTCTGAGTCCCGTCTAGGGTTTCTTGATGGCTGGCTGCCAAGGCATATCTCGCGTGACCCTCTCCTCCCTCACAGCATGAGTGTGCATGTGGGCATGAAGGGTAGGGGCCTCCAGGCTCTGCTGCTTCTGCCCAAGGATAAACAAGTGGAAAATTTATTCCTTAACTTGCAGGCCCTCACCGTGGTACATTTCATCCCTATGCCCTTCTGAATTTCCTTTCCCCTGAGAACAAAATGCAAATCTTTTCATCAAAACTCAGAATTAAAATTATCAACATTACAGAAAAAAATGGTTTGTCAAAATGTTATATTTCTTTACTTAATGAAAAATTGGAAGAGTGAATTGATCTTCTTCATTATTATTTTTTAAACCTGTTATCTTTTAGCATAGTAAAAAATAACTAAACGAATAGGGTAAGATTCCATATAAGTTCTATTTTTAATCATTTCACTTTCACTTTAATACAAGAAAATGGATATTTCTAAGTTAATCAGAAATATGAATTACTTGCTACTAACCTAATATGTCAATTTCTTTAAAACATAATCCTTCTTGAAAACTGAATACAAATTTATTTTCTATCAATATAGCAAATTAATTTTTAAATTCTAAATAGATGGAATGCCAGAAATCAATTATATTAAACTACTATTTCAGAATTTCCTATGTGTAAAATACTAGACTAGATGCTACACAGACCCCGAGAAAGTAAAGAAATATGCATTCAGTAAGGAGTTTATAATGAAAATTTATCATTGGTGGATTAAATAAGATACATTATATCTCTTTAATATCTGTCCTATAAATGCAGACTTTAGAGAAAGAAATATTATAATGAAAATATAATACGTTAAATACACGTGAAATATAGAAAATGAATTTATATTCCTTAATTTTATCAATCCCTCTACTTTACTAAAATGTTTACCACACATGCTACTGATAAGGTAACTTATCTCAAATGATTTAATATGGTTATTAATAATAACCAAGAATTCCAACTGAACCATTAAGAGATTTACATTATTGGCAAGTTTTCCATTTTCTATTTATCATTATACTCTTTTCTCTCAATTCTGTGGACAATTGCTTTTGCCCTTGGGAAACGTGTTCAATCTACTGTAATTATCTGTATGACATATGGCCTCTTTAGCAAAAATGAACAAGAGAAACAGGCAGAAAGATGCAAAGAGAATGAGAAACATCACTAACAGTCAACTCTAACTTCCAAAAAAGCAGCCTATCCATTATGTTAGCAATATATGAAATTTGGGCTAAAGAAAGAAACATGTTTTACTTACTAAACTAGCTTAAATTAGGAAGTGACTACAAGAGAGAATCTGGTTTATTGTGTTAATCATTATGGAGTTAATGGAAAAGTAAAGAAAGAGCTGAGACCAATACACTAAAAAAAATTATTTTCATTCATTCATTCATGCAATATTTATTTCACACATATATATATCTGGTAGTTTCTATTAACCCACTATGTATCTCCTGGCACATAAAATATTTACTAAAGCAAAGAAGGAAAAAGGAGGAGGAGGAGAAAAGGAAGAGAAGTTATCCTGGACTTTGAAAGGTGGAAATACTTTGTATAGGCAGAGGTGGAAGAAAGCAAGAGAAGCAGTGG